AGAGAGGGGCTCCACAGACCTGGGGCTTCAGCCACAGTATGCGAAGTGGAGGGCCTAGGACAGTGAGATGCAATGCCAGGGCTTGCTGTGATGTCAAGGACACGGGAAGCTTGGATAACTCCAACAATGACAAAAGCATCATTGGAGTTATCTCTGGGCAGTGATGTTGTGACTCCAGTTCTTGGCTTTAAAACATGTTATAGGACACCATGAACTCCTGCTCCTCCAGCACCCATTGTGGGGCAGTTGTAGACTGGAGGTGAGGGTTTCCTCCCCTTCCGGCTCCAGGGAAGCACTGAAGTCTTTGTCAGCTTTGGTAGAGACAGTGGTATCACAGGTGTTGTGGGGCTTCTGGTGCACAATGGTCTCCCTTGAGGCTGTGTGACAGCTCCTTGTAGTAGGCAGTGGAACATCCCAGGCCCATTTGTGCTCCCAATCACAGTTGTGACTCTGGACTACCATTTCAGCTATGATGAGTTCAAAAATAGCCTGGCTTTGTTGGCTTATCCTCACTGAGCACTGTGTTTCCATCTCATCCCAGATGGTGAGAAAATCCAGTATCTCTGCCTGCCTCCACCTGGTGGAGATGAGGAAGAAGGGGCTGGCATGGACTTTGTGTGTCCTGGCTGCAGGTGCCATGCTCTGAACTGGTGCTGCAAGCTGTTTTGGTGCAACCTGACGCAGTGAGCAGGTTAGGTAAGAGGCCTTGATGTGCCTTTGCACTGAGCAGCAAGTGGGCACAGTGACATAAGATTGGCTTCCTGACCCTAGGGTAATAGAGTTTGGTGTGAATCACAGACCAGGCTCCTCAGAGTTGAGTTGTGGTGGGATGCAGGATGACTGAGACATGCCTGGTCGCACTACATGTAAAACTGTCCACACACATTACATGTGGTGCTAGAAAATGTAGTGCTACAGAGAAGTTCCTCTTTGAAAGAGGAATATTTTTTGGTGGATTCACTTTTTTGTGCTAAAGGTGGCACATATTGTGTTACAAATGTAATGTGTGTCCATAGCCTATGTTTCCATGCTGCAAAGCAGAGTATATACTAGTTAACACTTTAGGACCATAATCTGATTTAGATGTCTTTAAGAATTTGTCTCTGCTACTAGTCATTTTAATGTTGCTAAAACATAGAACACAGAAATCAGCATATTTGTAATATTTTTAATACGGTAAATTACTGTGGAACAGTCTTATAATTGCTTCAGAAAAGACTGCCATAAATTAAACTTGAAAGGTTTAAAGCATAGAAACAAGCTCCAATTGCTAACCATTAAAAATTAGTTTTAGAGCAGTATTTGTTCCACTCTTTATATAATGAATAAAACCCAGCTGAATGAACCAATTGGATTCATGAACAAAACTGATAAATCTGTAGCCATTGAATATATTAGGGTATGTCTATGTTACACCCTCAGCATTCTGGGGAGGGTTGCTCTCAAATATGCACCAAAACTAAAAGTGTGACAGTGATGTTGGTCCTGTGGGTGGTCCTACTGTGATTGCTCTTAATTCTTTGTCTTTAGTATGATTAGGAGCAGCCACAAAGGACACTAAAGTAGCTTTACCACCTTATTTCTGGATTTAGTGCCTATGAACAGGAGCAAGTGGAAGGGTGTGCTCAAGACCTTCCTTGCCCACGGATACACACAATGACCAGAGAAATATATTGCTAATAAGTGCCCCATTTTTTGGTCTAATTTGATGACAGACTGTTAAATATTGCTTGATATAGCTTATTACCCATTAATAACTTAATCCACACAGTTACATATTATTAAAGTAGCATAAAAGCTGTAAATAAAAGCTGTAAATCCCCAACAGAACAATCACTACATTGAACCTATATACACCTATCTATCCCAAAATGTGATGTACCTCATCCAGAGTTCCAGATCATCCAGGGATGATCCTGCCTCAGGAGGGAGTTGGACTAGATGACCTATGGAGGTCCCTTTCAGCCCTACTTGTCTATGATTCTCTGATACCCTCACAGAAACTAGGTAGGTGAAGCCAAACAGTCACTACTTCTAGAATGAACATACGCAGAAAAGTAAGAAAGGATAACTGCACTCTGAGACCAGTGTGAAAATATTTTTCACAAAAGTATCACTCCATCCTTACAATCTTTCTCCTAAAAGGAAACTTAAGTAATAGCTTCAGAAGATGGGGCTGGGAATAGAAATTAATCGTTTTGTTGGGCAACAAAACCCATGGACTTAACAGACAGTGGCTTTATGGTCCATTACGCTTCACCTCTCATCTTTGCACCACTAACTTCTCAGTCCTCAACCCATAAATGCCCATTTCTCTTTCAAGTGTTCCAATTGTTTAATATAATTAAAGTGAGAGCAATTGTTGTAACTTTTAATTAATTGTTGTAACTTTCTTTTTCTGACTTAATGAAGGGCACTTGAAACTCAAAGGCTTGTCTTCGATCTCTCCCAACTGTGTAAATTAGTCTAATAGATATTGCCTCACCTCACAGACCTTGATTCCTCCATCAAAGCACATCAGCCATCCCAAGATGATAAGCTGAAATTCAGTATTTGAATAGTAAGAGATCTCAGGTGCATATATTTCAGAATCCCACTAAGTTTTGCTTTTACCGATTAGAAGTAGCCTCTCCACTGCCTAGTCATATGAACATCCATTAACTTTTGTGTTGGACTGACAAATCACTTTTTATTTACCTGAAAAATGCCTTTGGATGGCACTGAAGATGTCCTGTGATATATTTTAAAGGGGTCTTGTTTTCTCTAGTACGAATCTCGGGATGTGTACAGCACAGGTGGTTAGGATTTTGAGGTATGTGTGTTATACTACCACCACTGACTAATGTTACTCTTTCAGTTTATGTTATCATAGGTATTTTTTGCCTGGCCGCTTCCATTGGTCTCTACAGTTGCCTGTCTCCTTTTGTAAGAAGATTCCCATTGGGAAAATGCAGGTACATGGCAATTTCCTAACTTTTTAAAGGTGAAAATATGCCTTTTGAGGTCCAAATCCAATATTTACTGTGAATGTTTAATCTAACTTCTTTCTCTATATAATGAGTTATGTACACATATGTTGATTTAAGGGGTGTAATTTGTATAGAGGACAAAAAGCAGTACAATTTGTGTAGAGTACAATAATTATTTTCCAATATAAGTCTGTTTTCCAGAAAATATATTGAGAGCTTTATTTAACATGTTCCTTATTTACTGTTTGCCTATTAATGTATGTTTGATGTTCTTTCTACTTTCAGAATCCCAGAAAACAACTTGCCATATTTTCACAAGCGTCCACAAGTCCGGATGTTGCTTCTAGCAGCATTCTGTATCTCTGTCAGTGTGCTCTGGGGAATCTTCAGAAATGAAGATCAGTGAGTCCATGTTTTATTTCCCGCCTCAGATAATATAAACTGAAGATTGTGTTTCTGCCCAGTAAAACAAACTGGCTGATATCCTCAAAGTATGACATGCTCCAGAATTTAGAGAGAAAAGAGGTTACAGGATTTAGTCAACCGAAAATTCCCAATCATTCCTTTCAGGGATACCGCACTTCATTTCTGTGGTATATTTGGAGCTCATTGAGGCATTTCTCATTAAACTGTCTTCCCCACTAAGCCTGTTTCCATAGGACAGCACAATACTGACAAATGCAAGGTGCTACATCTAGAGAATAAAACTTAAAAGCACAAATATAATATGGGTGAAAGGTGGCAGGATGGCAGTAGGCCTGTGCAAAGTGGCTAGTATTCGCTTCGGATTCGGCCAGTTGGTGATTTGAATCACTGTCCTGAATTGATTTGGCTGAATCTCCAAATCAAACAGACCCCATCCCATGCCCGCTCTCCCAGCCCCATCAATGGCTGCTCTGCCCAGCCCCAGCACCCTGGCGCTTTAAAAAA